TGTTTCCTACAAGAGTGTCCTACAAGAGTGTCCTACAAGTGTCCCACAAGAGTGTCTTTCAAGAGTGTCCCACAAGAGTGTCCTACAAGAGTGTCCCTCAAGAGTGTCCCACAAGAGTGTCCTGCAGGAGTGTCCTGAGAGAGTGACCCGCAAGAGTGTCCTACAAGAGTGTCTCGCAAGAGTGTCCCACAAGAATGTCCTACAAGAGTGTCCCATAAGAGTGACCCACAAGAGTGTCCTATAAGAGTGTCCCACAAGAAGTGTCCTACAAGAGTGTCGTGTAAGAGTGACCCACAAGAGTGTCCTACAAGAGTGTCCCGCAAGAGAGCGTCTCATAAGAGTGACCTGCAAGAGTGTCCTTTAAGAGTGTCCCACAAGAGTGTCCTACAAAAGTGCCCCGTAAGAGTGACTCACGAGAGTGTCCTACAAGAGTGTCCCACAAGAGTGTCCTACAAGAGTGTCCCGCAAGAGTGTCCCAAAACAGTGCCCCGCAAGAGCTTCCTACAAGAGTGACGCGCAAGAGTGTCCTACAAGAGTGTCCCACAAGAGTGTCCTACAAGAGTGTCCCACAAGAGTGTCCCGCAAGAGTGTCCTGTAAGAGTGCTCCACAAGAGTGTCCTACAAGAGTGACCCACAAGAGTTTCCTACAAGAGTGTCCGACAAGAGTATCCCACAAGAGTGTCCCAGAAGAGTGTCCGTCAAGACTATCATTTGGGCATATGGAACGTGTTTGCATTCGGGTTCGTGGGCTCCATCTTGTTTTTGTCTTGGCTCCGAATGCTCCACCATTCTCCAGAATGAATCCTGCCCAACAAGGAATATTCATTTCGGGGCTGGTTTCTTTCGTGACGGGTGTGTCGAGGCTAATTTCCCGTAACAATGGGCTGACCAAGTTGCGGGCGGACAGAAACAAAAGAAGATGGGCGTCCGATTCGTTTCAATGATTGCCAAAACTGGTTTCAAGAATTCCAGCCTGAGATTGCAAAAGCTCCTGCAATCAAGGACCAAAATCACGGGTAAAAACTTGGCGACGCCTATGTATAGGGAGACACTAGACAGGTACCGTGATGTTCTGCAGATTTTAGCTTGATCATGGCGCGGGACTCCTGCTGGGTGGTTGCTTGGCAGTTAGCTTGCAGGTTCGCAGGGATTTCATGAATTTGGGCACGTGGCCTGAAAGCCTTGATCTAGACTTGACCAGGTGCCGAAAAACTGAGATCGAGAGATTAGAGCGCCTACTCAGACCCTGCACAGTGCTGTAGACGATGGGACGTGGCCCCATTAAAGCGTGGAGTGTAAGTGAGCATGAGTGAGAGTGAAGGTGGGTGTTAGTGAGTGTGGGTGAGAGTGAGAGTGTGTGTGTGAGTGAGAGTGGGAGAGTGAGTGTGAGTGAGTGCGAGTGTGAGTGTGAGTGAGAGTGAGAGTGAGAGTGAGAGTGAGTGTGAGTGAGTGCGAGTCTGAGTGAGAGTGAGTGTGGGAGAGTGAGTGTGAGTGAGAGTGAGTGTGAGTATGAGTGGGACTGAAGGTGAGTGTGTGTGAGATGAGTGTGAGAGTGAGAGTGAGAGTGAGAGTGAGAGTGTCACTCTCACTCTCACCCACTCTCACTCACACTCACACACACACACACCCACCTTCATTTCATCACCAGCATCACCTCTCTGGACCCCAATGCGCTCTAGACTTTCTGCTTACAGACCTCACGCGCACTGTTTGGGGTCTCTTGCCGGGATAATTTTTGTTCGCCCGCGGCCTGGTCAGCCCGCGCTGCAGGAAACAAGCCTTGAACCGCCCAGTTGGTTGCTTGTCAGTTTGTAGTTGCCCTCGTGCTTCTCAGTGCAGCTTGCCGGTTGAAACGTTTTATGGGCTCGGGGACTCGGGGAACAGAGGATAAGTCAGCAGCAAGCCCAATTAGTTTGTGAAGGCCGGGGCATACCCTGGTTTACAGAGAAACTTGCGGGCTCCGGCAACAGCATTTTGATGCATGTTGGGTACCAGTATGCTAGTACCGGTAGGTCATTCGCGACATGACGCATGGCGTCTATTTTTGCGCAGCGTTCGTGTGCTTTGTGTTTCCCTGCCTGGTTTTGGAATCCAAGCGCTCTAATTTTCAATTTCAACTTTTCTGCCCTTGGTCAATCCTTAATTCAAGGTTTTTTGGTCCTGTTAAATCCTCACGCCGAAACTCATGAAAGTCACTGCGAACCCGTAACGCTGTGTGGGGTATATGCGCCAGCCTGACCCAATGGCATTAAATGGCCCCCCAACTTGTATGAACAACGCCTGCCGCAAGTGAGCAGGTGAATGACCTCGGAAGACGCTTCAATGAAGTTTTCTTCCACAAGTCCAAGGTGCGCTCCCGAGCAGTGCTTGTGCTTGCAAACGCAAACCGCATTCGTTTTGTCGCTTGATGTGAATATATTTTTGTTTCAGCCCTTTTGTTTGTGCAAACTTGGACAGCTTCCAATGCCAGTGGGTCAGGTCAACGATGGATCTTGGAAGAAATGGTGTGTCGCTTGGAAGGGGCGCTCAAACGGCTGCAAGCGTAGAGTGCCTATGATTCCAAAAGACACCGTGAAAACTTTAAACTAGACGACGGTTGGCCCGAGAGCGAGAAAGGTGATTGTCAAGCAATTCCGAGCAAGTTAAAATCGAGTTGTCCAAGAGCCATGACTTCTTTATACAATCTGTTATTGAGTAAGAAGTTGCGAAGAAATTAGATTTAACATATTAAGAGAAAAGATATGTAGAAAGAGAGAACGAGAGGGCAGATGTGAAGGAGTGACAGTGTGGATGTGCAGGTGTGATATGGATGTGCAGATGTGTGGGTGTGTGGAGGTTTAGAGAGGTAGATCTGCGGATGTGAGCGTGTGGCGATGTAAATGTGCAGGGGTGAGGGTGTGTAGACGTAGATGCGCAGATGCAACGGCAGCGCAGCGCTGGCAGACTCGGTTTCCTGAAGAACCCCCTGCGTAGCCACTGGTACATTGGATTTGCCGCCCCCAGGTTTGCGGCCAGTGGTAGCCAGACGCACATCCGCCGGGTGACGAAAGCAGACAGCCTGCGGACCTCATCAAGAGGGTGAGCAGTTCAGCCTTACTCTTCACATTGGCCGGCAACTGCAACCGATCCCCGTCAACCAACACCCGATCCAGTTCTCCTGTGTGATCAGCCGAGGTCACAGTAGCCAAAACGATTCTTCTTCGCGGATGGTTTGGCAGCCCTGCTGTGCGCGGCGCTTGCAATGCAGTGACCGGGTCAACCTTTGTCCCACAGTTCTTGCACGGAACGTACATTGGATCCCCCAGAATGCCCGTGACCCATAGAATCCATAGAAGCAATCCTATCACACGATACCGCGCCCCGCTCACCAGCGACACGCCGCGTTTACACCAGCATGTTTCGCGCTCCC